GTTTTTGGGAGTTTTTGATATTAGCTTGAATGTAAAGAAAAAAGTGCGAACGAGACTGTGAGACCATCTGAGTAATCAGTATATACAGTTAAACCTGTTTTCAAAGACCAGTGTAGGATATAAAAAAGGCATTCTCCCAAATAGGGTATTGCCATATACATGTACTGAAACTTACCAGGTTAAGGATATATAGTTTTGCACTATATGGCTGTCCCTAAAGGGACAATTAAATGTTGGGTTGCTCTGTAGCTGGTCAAAACTTTCAAAAAGGGAGAATATTGGGATTTAAAAACATGTTTTTTTTCTGTATACTATTTCGCAAATGGCCTTTACCCTAAGTTTGACTGTATTTGATTCTATGAATCTTAAACAATACCAGTAAACTGTTCGCACAGATAGAGATAAGTTAAACGATATATCAGAACTAGATTTTTCCGTTTATGTAATCATTTCTCTAATTTATCATTTCTATCTTTTTATGTCTTATTTAAGTTATTTTTAATCTTTTTTATTGTAGTTAAACGAGATAATAATCTGAGATAATGTTTGGACAAGGTGGTAGGGGTAAGATTAGAACGAAATTAGAAACACTTCTTCGCCAGGACCACAGTGACGTCTATTTTGACAATGAAAGGCTTAACGATCAACTTAATCTACGTATTGATGATATGCAAAAAGAGCTGCTCCGGAATGATTTACAACGCGGTGTTGAAATAGGAAAACTGCGCCAGGAGATACGTGAGTTTAAAGCGTTACAAACTTCAAACCAGGAAGAAAAGGAGACAGCACCAAGACCTCATACTTCTGGTATGTTTCTTTATTATCTTTTTTACTCTGTTTTTCTGTAAAAAAATATCTTTATATTTTTATCTTTATTTTACTTCTTTGTTTCATTAAGTATTGTTTAACCTTGTTGAACGCATCAATAGGTTATACTTTAAGATATACATGTACATTTATATCTAATAGTATATCAGGGACACTATATACTTATTATATGAAGTTTGGGTAATTTTTTATTTACGAAGAAAATACGTTTTTACCCTTAACTTAATATGCATGCACTTACCAGCAAGGGTACTTTAAATCTTTTCATAACATGAATCAAACCACATATACAATATCTAAAATAACAATAACTGATAAATGGGATGTCTGCTACTAGTATCTGAAAGTTTTATATATATTTTTGCAATTTTAAGCGTTAAAAGACTGTGTTCAATATTCAATATTTTCAACAAAATGTATGGTTCAGATCTTACAATTTTACTTCTTTTATGAACAGTTGGACATTCATCGAGAAAAAGGACAGCAAACGCGGGTACCAGACAAAGAGCTCAGTCCGCGTGGGCGCGCACCCAAACAAAAGAAACTGAGACCAACGCCGAACCGGAACTTCCGGTAACAGAGGAGGAAAGTAGTCCGACAGCGCGGAGTGATTCCCCGTCTTCTTCGGTTTCTACATTAAGGAACTCTAAGACACTAAGAAAATACAGAAATATAGGCGCCAGTAGCTTTAAAGAAAACAATAGATTCCCAGAGGAGTGGTACATTAAATGTTTACCAGCGTCAGACGCAGCTATACATAACGCGCGTAAAAAGGTCAACGGAAAGTTTGTCGCGCCTAAATTTGGTTTGCTAGGTAAACTCAGAGAAAAGGAAGAGATGGAGAAAAAGCTAGCCGCATATTCGAAAATAAAACCGAAACTGGCAGAACATAAAAACGGTGATAGTAGTGATAAACTTGATGATTCAGAGGGAATGAACTTGGTATGTGAGGAACAGGTTAAACCCGTCCTTATGTCGCGTAGAAGACTGATGGAAATTTCAAACGCTGAAAATCTTGTTGACAGGGGACCTAGTAGAAATACCGTAAGAAAACAAAACTTAAAAGGCATAAATGAACAAGATAACAAAAGAATAGATGATAAAGTGAAAGATTTTTGCAAAGCGATTGAAGAACTAAAGGCCAGGGAGCTGAAAGCAATGAAAGAACGCGAAGAAGCGAGAAGACAAGACGCATTAGAGAAAATACAATTGAAAGCCATGGAAGAAGCGCAATTAAAGAAACAAGAGGAGGAAAGGAAGAAAAATGAAGATGATGACGATGATGATAGATTTAGAAATAGATGGAAATAAAGTTTAATTAGTTCAAGTTATAAATTGCATGTTGTTGGCGTGAATATGACTTATTGGTTGAATGGTTTAAATCCAGGGGATCTTGTGTTCTTACCAAGATGTAAAATATAAAAAAAAAACAAAGCAGACAACTGGTACTTTAGATGTCTGTAAATACATTGGAATATTTCGGCTTTTGAACAATGAATGGTTTAGTATATGAAATACAAATACCTGAACAAGACTGTTGAAGCTTTTTTTTTTTTTAAAAAAAGAAGTGTTACAGTAAGATCTCGACATAAGAATATCTTATGATCTTTTTTGGAAATGAGTTAGCCAATCACTGTCAGTGAGCGCTTTGTTTTCAAATCTGAATTTTGTCAGGTTTCGCTGAAGAAGTCAAGTTTCCATTTCTTATTTATTTTTGCATAAAAATTTGCGGTATTAGGGACAATAATAAACTCAGGGTAATAGCTTTTCATGTTGAGCGATATATATACATAATATGTATGCAACACAAATGCCTTATCATAAAAGAGATACACTGTTACACTGTATTTTCAAACAATAAAGTTTTGTAACAATCGGGTCCTAGATAACGCTACGCTTTATGTAAAACGTGATCTAAAAATTAGTTAGACTGGTTTTGTTACAAACGAAAAAAAACTGCATCCTTCATTTAAACAGCATACATGTACTCGTATTTCACAGCATAAACGTGTATAATATGAAGTATTTTCAAATTTTTGTTTTGACATAGACAATTGTGATTTTTCATACATAATAAAATTGTCTACAAAACGTTTTTGCCTTTGTATTCTATTTTTAGTTTAGCGCCTTATTATAGTATTTCATTAAATGGAGTTCCTAATATAGTCAAACAAATGGTAATGGCGTAAATCATAAAATTACAATAATTTACAATAAGCGGTGACCGTAGGCATAGCACCCTCCTCACAGGACAGATAAGCTTAAAGTGAATTGGTGTATTATGGAAGATTTGTAATCCAGATAATTATGTTGATAGTATTTAGCATTAGACATGACAACAAATTACGAAAGAGCCGCATCACGACAAAACCAACATAGCGCGTTTGCGACCAGCATGGATCCAGACCAGCCTGCCCATCCGCGCAGTCTGATCAGGATCCATGCTGTTCGCTGTCAGTTTCTGTACTTGTAATAGTTGGTAAGCGAACAGCATGGATCCTGATCAGACTGCGCGGATGCGCAGGCTGATCTGGATCCATGCTGGTCGCAAACGCACTATGTTGGTTTTGTCATGACAAGGCTCAAATATGCATGCTGTTGGCAAGTGTAAGATATATTATCCGACAGTACATATATCTATATATCAGAAAGAACAAAATAGTATTATTCATCATATAGATGGTCATTCTAAACAGTGTTTTCTTCAAGAAATACTGTATGATAACATCCAAATGATACATTTCTATTATTAACAATATTTGAAAAGCTTATGGAAAATGAGCCAATAGTAGACCAATCCACTTAAATAAACTCATGGGAGTTCCTACTATCGTCCAGCAAAAGGTAACGGTGTAAATCACAAAAGAGCAATAATTCATAATTCGCAGACAAGACAAACCTAATGCTATTGTCTGCCGAGATGTTTTCTCATAAAGCTAGTTTATAAAGACCTCACATTTCTCCTTGTAACTACATTGTATACTTAAGTGTTAAAGAGTATTTAAAACCCACCTGGCAACGCATCATGTTCTTAACGTGGCTCCTAAAATAGGATATCGGGTATCAGTTTTACTTTCATTCTAATGAATTACCATTTATTTAACATCAAAAAGGAATCGGTTGAATTAAATAAACTAATTGTAATAATTTGTCATCTAAAAACGTTTGATCTTTTATTGCCGCTTAAGAGTTGTCTCCCCGTGCTGATTATTAAATAGTGTACCCTTAATTTATGCACGGAAGACTACCGGCATATTAGGCATTCCCGAATCTATTCAGAATAATACACACGCAGTTGTTTTCCTTCATGTCTCTTCATCTGAAAATATTCAGAATCAGAGTGTACATTTTCCATATATGTGTGCCTTAAAATTGTTGCCAAATAAAGAAAGCTCAAAACATTTACTACGCAAAACAATTACCTTTAACTTGTCCAAAAATGCAGTCATTTCCCTTACAACGTTAGCTATGGGGATAGAAATCTTGTGATGAAACAATCAATTATTTTACACATAAAAGAATTCAAATTTCACCAGGATTGTCAACATCTATACTAATTAATTTTACTAATCTGGATTTGTTTTGGTTAGGTTTTATAATGTCGACTAACACAGTAGAGGTTATATGGTGACTATCCAGCTTTACTGGTGGAGGCAGACCTATGGTGCCCTCCCGTGCAATATTTCAGGTACGAACGGGACCAGAACCACAGACACTCCGAGTTTCCTCACATGAAAGAATCCAAAGTCCCGGAGGGATCGAACCTACAGCGATGAGGGGCTAGTGGTTTGAAGTCAACGACCGTATCCACTCGGCCACAGACGGTCCACTTTCTCATCTGGAGGCATTCTTCATTGGATTGTTTAAACAATGGAAGGCACACTGAATCGGTCATGTTGCAAACTAGAAACAAATACAGTCAGATTTTTCTAAACTGTGCAGTGGTCAAGATGCCGTTTTCTCGCATATAAAGGAAAAAGGCAGGTTTGTGTCAGGGACCGTAACATCAAAGCACCCGTTTCGGTTGTTCAAAGAAAACTCTCAAAATACAGATTTCCAAATTGGGAAAATTGCCGGCACCACGGCATTATTTTGTATAAATGAAGTAAAAAGTCACTGGCACCAGCTTATAACTATATCATCTTACATTATATTACTTTTCCTTTGAAATTACAAACTAAAAACATTTTATCAATTATTGAAAGACATGCAATATGAAGAAAAACAAATTATCATCATTCAAAAATGTTTATTTCCTAATTTCACATAAATTACTAGTACCATCATATCAAATACCTTCAAACAAAAACAAATATAAAACTTATAGTGACATTTCATGATAAAAACATTTACCATACATTTTACGTATGATTTAACATACAAATGTAATGTTATAAAAATACTCAAATTTTCATATCACTTTTTATCTGTAGTATAAAAATATGATTTCTGTTTGGATTTGTTGAAAACAAAATTTATATGCTACAGGAGACAGTTGTAAACTTTCAGAATGGCAGTGTGTATTAGTGTCCGGTTAAGTATATAAGAGACAATTTTGTGTGAAGGGAGTGTATAGTTTAGGTTCCAAATAAATATCACTATATGAAATATATATTTTATTTTGTAAACAAGTGCTGGGTAGTAATTTTGTTCTTGATGATCAAGGGGAGATAATTTTATGATAATGTGACCATTATTGGTAATACAAATGTGCCCAATGTCTATGATAATTATATTTGCTTATATACAGCATAATAAACTAATCTAAGGCTTGATAGTAACAGAAGGTAAAATTGTTACTAAGAAAAAAATCATATTATAACTAACATTTAATCTTATCAACTAACAAGAGCTGTCCGTAGGACAGCACGCTCGACTATTCTAAGTGCTTGATAGTAAAGGAGCCTTGATAATGTTAATTTTTTTAAGTTCACAAAAGGGCTAATTTTTTTTATAAATTCATGTTAAAGGCCTTAGAGAGAGGCTAATTATACAGTATTGGCTTGACTATTTGGAAGGTAATGTCACAAGGGTGTTTTATTGAGTATAATAATACTAACTACCTATGAATACATAAATTTGACAGAAAAGGTACAAAGGCTTGTTATTAAGATGTTTTATCAACTAAATCACTGATTTATTATTATAAATGCATAAAATTGTCCCAAAAAAGGCACAAACCCTTCAGTAGTTATTGAGATAACAGCTTACAAGCAAAACTTTACCATGAATTTCTAAGTTGAAAAAGGGGAAAAAAAATCAGCCTAAATGCAAGGTAGAATTATGGATCTTTGTCCGTGACCTACAATTATGACCCTAAATGCATATGTAAAGTTTTAAATAAATATCTTTAATAGTTATTGAGATATGTAAAACTTGCATGTTAACATTAACCAAGAGACTAAGTAGAAAAGGGGATATGAATCAGCCTTAATGCAAGATAGAGTTATGGAACTTGATCAGTGACATACAATTATGACCCTCCAATTATGACCATAAGTGCATGTGTAAAGTTTCAAGTAAATATCTTTTGAAGACCTTTAACTTTCAACCAAAATTTCTAAGTTCAAAGGGCAAATAATTCTGCAAATATTGCAGGCAGAGTTATGCAATTTTGCAAACTGATGTACATTGTTACTATAAAAAAAGTATTTTTTAAATTTCAATTGAATATCTCAAGCAATAATTGAGATATTTGACTTTACAAAAAAACTTTAACCAAAATTTCAAAGTTCCAAAGGGGCATAATTCTGTCAATATTGTAGGCAGAGTTATCCAACTTGTCAATCTGATGTACCTTTTTACTATAAATAAGTATTGTAAGTTTCAATTGAATATCTCAAGCAATAATTGAGATATTTAACTTTACAAAAAACTTTAACCAAAATTTCTAAGTTAAAAAGGGGCATAATTCTGTCAATATTGTAGGCAGAGTTATCCAACTTGTCAATCTGATGTACCTTGTTACTATAAATAAGTATTGTAAGTTTCAATTGAATATCTCAAGCAATAATTGAGATATTTGACTTTACAAAAAACTTTAACCAAAATTTCTAAGTCAAAAAGGGGCATAATTCTGTCAATATTGTAGGCAGAGTTATCCAACTTGTCAATCTGATGTACCTTGTTGCTATAAATAAGTATTGTAAGTTTCAATTGAATATCTCCAGTAATAATTGAGATATTTGACTTTACAAAAAACTTTAACCAACGCAGACGCCAACGCGGACGCTGACGCCGGGGCGACTACAATAGCTCTCATATTCTTCGAGTAGTCGAGCTAAAAATTATGTCAAAGTCATACTATTCTTCATGAAACACAATGAAATCCAACTTTTCTTAAAAATATTTTCTTTAATTGGATATTAATTATTCATTCTTAACAGAGAGACAAATAAAATACTATGTTAAATATGAAATGTATTTATGTAATATGTACAGACTTGTTTGTGAGGATTTATTTGCGACATGTCAGATATTTACTGATAAAGCCATGAAAAAGCACCCTATACATATAAATATTCTGTCACACAGCTTTGAAAGTTCCTGGCATGTTAATTTATGTTACAAATGTCAATGTTGCCTCCAATAAAAATTGCATAGTCATTTACCAATTGACCTCAACTCGGTGAGTTTATTATATTTTTCTCTCTCAATTTTTATGAACCAAGTTTGTTACAAATATTCACTTTTCATCTACCAAATTTATAACACAAATATTCACTGTTAATCTTTTACTTTAGAGTTTATTAAACAAATATTCACTATAGATCTATGGAGTTTATCACAAATATTCACTACCATTTAGCACTTCGACTCTAGTTCATGTTTATTTTTTTTTTTTTTTTTCATATTTCCATTCGACAATGTAGTTCTTATAAAATTAACACATATTTCATATAACCACTTAATAGTTATCATTTACATCATAAAGTTTATGTATATTTCATACACAAAATGTTGATCTTTTATTACTCAGCATTCAAGCTTTTATCAAAACATGGTCCCTTAGCAGACAGCCTTTGATATAACAATATAATGTTGTTTCCATACACAGCCCTCCTTGTTACTTCACAGTGACAGCTTAAATCTGAAAGTTTCACAGTGAGTTCTTATTTACCACTGTTTTATCATTTAGAAGTTATATTCAACTCAGATAATTTTAGAGTACACGCTGGATCATCATTGGTCATATTCAAGGTAGGGACTGGATTATCATTGTTTATTTGTCATTTAGAAGCGGAAAATTTGTGGGAGCTCCGAATTTTTCATAGCATGTTCTAGCGCGTGTAGTTCACTAAATTTTTACTAAATCTGCTTCTTTTGTTTTTGAAATAATTTAAGTTAAAATAATAAAATTCCCATACACAATAAAATTTTTATACCCATATTTTTTCCAAAAAAACCCCCGCCCTTTCTGGGATGTAAATGGGCAATACGGTTTTTTAATTAAAACCCTTTAAAAAACCGGGGGAGGGGAGGTCATATTTTTTTAGTTTTTCTCCCCTTTTTTAAAGCAAAAATGTTTTAATAAAAAGATGACTTTCAAAATCCAGTGAAAATAAAACCTGAATCTCAAGAGAAAACAAATATATCTTTACTTCAGGTCTTTGCGCTGTATTTTCTGATGAAGTCACAGCAGCTTTCTCCAACAGCTGTGCAGCATACAAAGAAATCGACAAAAGTTTTCAAAGCTGGGGTATTGTCTTGTCCTCGTTCAGCTCTTCAAACCAAGTTTTTGGCAGAGAAGAAACAATCTGAAATATTTTTTGAAAAATACATTTTGAAATTTAAAAATGTATTTTTCTAAATATGGTGTTTTTGTTTTTTTTTCTTTTAGCCTATTTGTATTTTGTCAAATATCAAAATTACATTTTCATAGATTAAAAAGAGAATTTTTTTAGAAGACCATATAACCAGAACTAAAAAGATAAAAATCCTCCTAAGTCATGTTTAACACATGAATTCACATAACACTACATACAAGTTTTAAAGTAACTAAAACAAGAAGTAGCAAGAACCACAGGAACAGTGCTCTATAGCAAAGCAGAGCAACTATAAATAAACGATAAAGAAATTAATGTTTTTATTGCACTACTGTACAGTTGACTGTTTCATGCTTTTAGCAATCAACAGGTGCAAATGATGATTGCTAAAAGCATGAAACTGTACAGTAGTGCAATAAAAACATGATATGTCGATTCCTTATATGTTAATTTACATGTTATAACATAAAGTGCAATAATTACCGTTTGACATTTGAGAAGTGTTTCCTGGTTGAAGGGAGCAGTCTGTAGACCAAGCAATATATATCTGTTGAGGAGACCATCTAGAGCTAGACCCTGTAATACCTTTCTCGAGATTATACCATCCCATGATAAGAAATGCCCCAATAACTGAAATAAAGTTAACGTTCATTTACTCAATCATAAAACAGGAATTGTATTTGTATTTGAAGTGGCGGCATGGCTGAGTGATTAACATGTCCAACTAGTAATCAAGTAAAGGATTGCTGACCGGCTAAGTTCAAACCCTATAAGGTGCAAGCCATTGTTTCCTTGAGCAAGAAACTTTACATTCATTGCTAAGTACAAGTTGGTTCCAGGAATGAATATGAGAGTGTTTCAATAACCTTATAGCTTCCCACACAATCCCACACAATCATACTAAAATAAATTTGTGTTACTAAAATCAATGTATATTTGGACATCAGCTTATTTTAATCTATTTTCTTCAACTTACATCTAATAGAAAGCTTCCAAAGATCAGAAGTTTTGTAACCAAAATCACAATTTCATTCATTCTATAAAATATTTAATCTAAAAGCTGAAAGCCTCCAAACTTACAGAAAGTCAAACTGAAGAAACACAGATTGATAGGTTAGAACTAGAAGTGGTTAGCCTTAGCCACCAGTATAGAGCTATGCCAGTCTGCACTTCCTAGCAGCCTGACCATGCTCTATACTGTAGGTAGCACAATTTTTTCATGTTCTGATTTTGAAACCTATACACTGTTTCAAATTCAAAGTTGGACAAATTTATTACACAAAGTCAGCAGGTAAAGGGGTAATAAATGAAAAAGTATTCACAATCCAAGCCACACTGCATGTTTTATGTAATATATGATTGAAAAAAATAATGACTAAAAATAAAAAATTTTGGTATTTTAAATTTTTTAACTCGCCACCCCCTGCCCCCTTTATGGCAATCCCCCTAGGAAATTTTTAGTAATTTTGAATTTTTGAGATAGTGCAAATACAATTTCAAAATATCCCCAATTTAGAAGCTTCTCCTGGGTTTTTAAAATGCTAAGTTTTTAATCACTCATACACGGGACCTCGATTTAAAGTCACATCCAAAGACTGATTAGTAATTTTAGTTGGCCAGCCCAGGATCGAACCCACAATGTTGAGATTAAAAGTCTAGCGCTCTAACCAATTGAGCTATGCGGGCTGGATATAAAATTATTAACTCCCATCAGATTCTATAGATACATATTAGAGAGAGTTAACTTGCTAACATACTTACTTTTATACATGTCCATGACTGTCTATGAAAGAACACACTTGGTCCAGAATTTCTATTCTCCAGAACTCTAAAATTCAGAGTAAAATATAGTAAGAAATGAAATGCAGAAATTTTCGTTAAACATAATATTTCTTAAAATGCTTTGTCATAGTGAATTGTCAAAAAGTTAATGACAGAAAAAGGGAAACCAACAACAGCTGTCACATGGTTAGGTTACTTTATCAATACTAGTATGTATTTTCATTTATAAATCAATTTACTCTCTTTTATCATAGAGAAAACTTTACATAATATTGTTTATGAAAGCTAACTTTTCTATTACTTTTTAAGACTCAAAAGAAGAGGTTATTCATAACTAAGTACTTACGTTTTTGGATATAAAGGCATAAAAACATCATCATCTAATGTTTTCTTCATCCGTAAAACTAATGCCTTCAGTAAATTCTGAAAAGAGTGCAATATAAAATATTATGCTTAAAAGGGATCTTTTTTTTTTCTTCTTAAGATTTCCTTCTGAAGTGTTCTAGGTCTACATTTAACATAAAATCTTTCTAAAGAAAAGGAAGGTACAATATATGTTGTTTTTTAATTTTTTTTTTATTTATTTTATGTTGCACCTACACATTAAAGGTCAATGGCGACTTTCGAGCTTTACTGGTGAGAGACCTCAGGTGCCCTTCCTTGTATCACTTTAGGCACAAATGGGCACTTGGTTAGAACCATCTACGTTCTGTAGACTAGCTTGATGGCTTTCTCACAAGAAAGAATCCAAAGTCCCTGTCAGATTTTATCCCACAGCGGTCAGGGACATGTGCTCTGAAGTCAATAACTTTAACAACTTGGCCACAGATGCCCCTCTATGAATTGTCTGACACAAATGAGTCCTTCTATAAAATTAGCACTATGTTATATTCTGATGACAGACAATTCCTAAATAAGTTTTCAAAATGCTGTAAACTTACTTGTGTATTTTTCGAGTTCGCATTCACTGTTGGATAGTCTTTCAGTAACTTTTTAACAAGTTTGACAAACCTACAAGTGTGGGTTGTTGACAGAGGGTCCCATACATTCTCTGCTAAATCTACAAAGAACATTTATATATAATCTTAGTTATATATAACTTGCAAATTACACAATAAAACACAATTAAAATGAACAAAAATACTTTCAAAGTGATCAGTTCAAGACATTCTTTGCATTACTGTTGTCTGATCCATCTTTTTACTGGTAACAACATTTTGATATATCAAAATACTAAAATTATGCAACGCATTAAAAAATTCACTAGCGTAAATTATTCTGAGGTTTTGTTAAAGTCTGTTAGTCTATATTGCCTCAAGATAATATTATGTAAGCAGTAACTTTAACCTCATTTTTATACTTAGACATTAAAATCTATATAATGTACTGTTGTACAGTTCCATATTTAATGCCAAATGCATTATATGAATTCAAGGGCATAATTGTAACATGAAATAATTCTCGTACAAAGTCACATGGACACACAAGCATGTGAAAAAAATGCATTAAATAAATCTTAAAACATGAAAAAATTAGGCAATGTATGGGACTGAACACAAACAGCTGGGTAAAATTCATTACACATGCCATTAGGATAACAAGATAGTTTTTACACTCATTATAAACATGGTAAAATGAGATTTGATAACTTACAGGAGAGTTTAGGTAGCACTATCTTATCTACTACAGCTGGTATAAGTTTGTTATCATCATCATCTTTATCTATTGGGCTGCCTTCTTCAAAACCATAGAATAACAGGGAATCAAACCATTTCATCTCTTCAACGTCTTTACACCGTTCCTGTGAAATGACAAATTTTATTTTTAATTCTGAAATTCTAGAATAATCCTGAAAGAAATTAACTATATACCCTGACTCTAACTTACTTTTTTTGTTCTCAACACACATATTTTATAAGATTATAGAAAATTACTCAACATTCATTTCCAGGCTGCCAATTTGTGTATCATTTTTTTAAGAACGGACATCAGTTAAATGCTAAATAAAAGACTTGTCTCCGAGAACATCTCATGCAGCACGAAAACATTAACATGATCACAACCACTACCCAGATTTGCTTTTGTTGTTTTTTAAGTCAAATCTACACTGTTATTATCATTTGACAACTTATTGTCCAGCATAACTGGTGGAGAAAGACCTCTGAGGCCCTGATTTATTTCAGCACAAACAAGAACCTTTTCCTAAGAACCACAGATTTTCCCCAAGCTAGCTGGAGAGCCTCCTCATGTAATAAAAGAATCCAAAGTTCCTGACATGATAAGAACCCACAGCTGTGAGGGGGAAAGTACTACAAATAAATGAGCCGCGTCACGACAAAACCAACATAATGGCTTTGCGACCACCACGGATCCAGACCAGCCTGCGCATCCACGCAGTCTGATCAGGATCCATGCTGTTCCCTTACAAACTCTATAACAAGTAGAGAAACTGATAGCGAACAGCATGGATCCTGATCAGACTGGGCGGATGCGCAGGCTGGTCTGGATCCATACTGGTCGCAAACGCAATATGTTGGTTTTGTCATGACACGGCTCAAATGTTTAATACAAACTTACATCAAATGGATTCCAGTTGATTAACTGCAGTCTCACAAATGGGTTGACAAGTTTAGGGAGACAAAGTCCTATATAAGCCTCTTTATATGTGTCACCGTATTTCCGTTTCCAGCTCATGAATCTCTCTCTAACACAATCTGTATCACTGAAGTCGTCTACCACATCCTCTATCACTTCAGATGCTCTCATCTCTATCTCATCTAGAAAACAAAATCATTCAATTAGAATTCAAACAATTCATTTTTCTTTCTTAAATACATCAAAAGTAAATGCACTTACCACATTTGTTTGTTTGTTTGCTTGATTTCATAGCGCATTAACACAGGTCAACATGATTTTAGCTGATCTCGGGTGTTACAAACTTCAAAGCAACACCAGGGGTCAAACCCACCCCACCTGCTGGAGCTAAGAAATGCATAGACTCAAGTTGTTCGACGAACCCAATGATCACATACTGATAAACAGTGGCTGCAGTTCTTATGCCTCAACCATTAAAGGCAACTCCTCAGCCACAAGGGGCACACAGCATTTTGACTAGACATAAAAAATGTTTATCTTAACCTGGTTAATACCAGAGTTTACACAGAAAATGAGCAAGTTTTTAATTTTTTAACTTTTTAACATGAAGTTTAAAGATTTTTTAAATTTTATTTTCGTTAACTGCTTTTTGTTTCAAGTAAAAAGTATAAAATTGACAACAGAAGGTAGAATGTTGTTTTTACAAGGATGACATTACTGGTAACAGTAAACCTTTTCAATCTTGTACTCCAATAAAGCAAAACTCTCTTATTATAAATAGAAGAACTAAAGAGAAGAAAACTTTAACGACAAAAGTACAACTTTGATCACAAATCATTCCTGAATGTTTAAAATATTATCTCTGAGTATGCTTAAAATTTAGACCCAGAAACAAAAATAATCCCTTAAAAGAATGTTTTCAAATGATTTCAAAAAGTTCAAACATTCAAATACAAAGTACAGTTTAATTTAATGTTAAGTATACTATAAGGTACATAATCTGTATAAACAACGAGAAGATAATAAAAATAAAACAAAATGTAAGAAAAAAGACCAAAACAACAGGACAATTTTCATCTGAAAAGCTAGGACAAAAGTGAAATAATGTAAATTGATTTTCTAGCGCAGAAGAAACATTGTTTAATCATACACATATTGTGTACTGAAGTTTCCATGTACAAATAGCAGATAAATCACCACCTCTTTCCTGGCAATATTTAGTAATTTCTGATTGATTCTCTTCATCGTCAGATGACAGACCCTCGTGATGACCCGAGATGTTCTTTCCTTCCCGCCCTCTCCGTCTCCGAGCCCTGAAATACAAAGGAACACTGTGTTAAACTATAAACAGCTTTTGTTTGCTTGTTATTTAACATATTCATCTCTTAGCCCTGAAAACCAAAAGAACACCATGTAAAATTTGAAATTGATTTGATTGGTTGTTATTTAACAAGTTTTGTGACTGAGGGGTTGCTTTTAAGGGTTGAGGCATCAACATTTCAGCCAACGTTTATCCCTGTGCGATTATAAGAAGCGACAAAATGGGTTGGAACTACTGGAGTCAATGAATCTCTAAGCTTCAGTAGGTGGTTTTGACCTTTGGTGTTGCTTTAGAGTTTGTAACACCCGAAGGTTAGCTGAAATCATTTTTCCTGTTTCGGCTGCATGTGACATAAAATGTGTTGGTGTGCAGTTACACCCCCATCCCAATTTAACAAGTTGCATTGCATGACAGAATTCAATTTGGTGACTGTCTAGCATTACTGGCTGAATGAAAATTATCTCAGTTGTCACATGTATCAGAACTATAGGCACAAACTGACACCTGAGCAGAACCAGGGACCTTGCTTAAGATTGATAAGTCACTTTTCAAAATAAAAGAAATTAATGCTCTTTTTCAAGATTCAAACCACAACAGCAAACTGTATTGACTTGAGGTATCATGTAAATTACCAAAAAAAGGTCAAAATATGCAAAAATTACTCAAATCACGCAGTAAAAAATATTGTAATAAATACTACAAAATCAGTCATTCATTGCATACAACTGTAAATCATTATTTAAATCATGAATATTATTACTGTACATTTTTCTAAAAGCTGATTTTCTTGAAATTGTTTGGCTCATCTTGAGCTATGCAGCTTTAATAACACATTACAAATAATTATTTGTTTGGGTCGTCAGACCAAACAAATAATGGTAGCGAAATTTCAGACCCTGATGCTGTTAATTGCAAATGCCGAAAGAGGTCCGCTTTTTTGAAGCGGTTACTTCCCTTTATATGTACACTAACGCCGAAAAATTCAGGGGAGATCACTGGGTAAAGATGGTCAAATGACAGGCGCATTAATTTTCAAGCAAAATAGTTCCCAATTGGTCAAAGATTTCTAATATTGTTTTATTCTATATAGATATACATGCTTATAGTAAGCTCCATGATTTTTTACATCTGTGTTAAACAAAAGTTAGCGTCTAAATAATAAGGGTTACAAACCCTAATTTAGAATAATATGGTTTTCTTCAAGCCGTTAACATATAACTTCAACATGGCCGAGGGGTTTGCGCGCTCACTTCAAAAGCCAGAGGTCTGGAGTTCGAATCCCAGCTAAGGCAACACATTTTTTTTCCCAAATTGTTTAAGTCAAATAAACATTGAATTGAATATCAGTGTTGCAATAAGTCTTATAGCCAATTAACTACAATTAAAACGCTGAAAAGCATTGGTGGCACTATACAAAAACAAATTTGTTTATAATCTCACAACCTTCACCTGTCTGACATTCTGAGACCCAAACAAATTCAGCGCCTTCTGTGCTTTGATTTTTTTCTTGGTCTGGCTTTTAGCCACATCAATACTAAACTCATATGGTGATTATCTGACTTAACTGGTGATTAGTAAATGAAGCTGTTCTGTATTATTTTAGACATGGGCAAACTCCAGAGTAGACTCACCGACTTTCTGTTAGCTACTACATTGATAGACTCCTAACATATTGGCCTAAAGTGAATGCTAGGGTGGTTAGAAAATTAACTAATATTACCAACAAAACTATAGGCTCACCTTCTAGCCTCTCTTTCAGCTATCCTACGCTGTCTAAGCTGATTGTCATGATCTACAACAACTTGTGCTTTGTCTGAAACATAAAATAATCTTTTATACAATCGAGAAATCACACATTCACCAGTATTGAAATAAATAAACTTTAGTCATACAATTAAACTTACCATTTTCTATTGTTAACAATGATAAAGAGGAAGAATTGTTAATAAAAAAATTTCTGACCATAAAATTCACTTACCTTTGTGTTTGTTTAAATTGACAAAACTAGCCCACCCACCATATAATAAACATTACAATGCTTGGCAATATAAAGAGTATCAGGAATAAGAAAAAAAAACTTTATCTTTTCACAAGCTGACTTATGTAAAGCTGAGCATTTAAAATTTTGCAAATTTTCTTTCCATATTTTCCACTCCCTTCATTAATAATAATTGCTTAATTTTCCTTGCAATAACAGATTAAAAAGTCAGTAAACTTGAAAATTTGGCTTAATCTATGATAGAACTCTATGGCCTCACATTATTCTCAATATTAGAAGTAAGTCTTCTTTCTAGAATTTTCAACAGTTTATCTTTATAAAACTTTTCGTTGTCTGTATTTAGGTATCAAGAAAATGAATGGGATTAAAACAAAAATTTTGGACAAAAGTTTCATAAATCAAGTAATACAAGACTCTTTTTATACATAAAACATCACCAAGTTTTGAATTTAATATCAAATGAGGGAAAACTCCATATAGACATGAACTAACACGTAAACCTGACTTCAGACATACTTAGAAGGACTAGATATGTAACCATGAGGGAAAAAAACACACACAAAAAAAACCATGGGGAACTAACAAGTTAATGAGATATATGCCATGAGGCATTAAAAATCATGACAATCAAATACCGACTTGTCATGTAAGCTTGGCATTGATCTTGTATATCCTGTTGACGACGGCTCGCAAATTTGGCCGACCTATTTCTGAGTAAATTATTCATCCTCGTCTCCAAGTCATTGATCATCGGAACCTAAAACATTGAAAAATAAACCATGTTGTAGAATGATTGTAAACTATACAAGTAGTACAGATAAATATTGCAGAATTTTTCACTTAATTGACACTTAATATCTAGTTTCGAACAAAAATAAACACATTTATTACATTAAGTTATAATTAACATTCAATTTTTCCACCCAAAAAGTTTAACTGATAGTGGATTTAAGTTTACTCTTCTTACCAAATATTATTGCCAGAACATTTAACTTAAACGTATCTGAATTTTATGTAATACACTTATTCTATACCTCAATTCAAATAAATTCACTTTTCTTACATGTACATTATCTTCTTAACGAAATCGGGAAAAAAGGTAACATAAAAGAAAGGACTATCCCATGCAGTTTCCACCGGTTAGCAACATTACCTTTATCTGGACAGAAAGACCAGGAAAGCATTGTTTAATCACTTATCCGTGAGCATATAACCTACCTTTATCCCAGTTGTGCACAACTGAACTCGTCTATAGTATCAATTTTTTTCAAATCTATTAATAAGTAACCGAAATAGATTTACTTATTCCTTAATTGGCCAGGAAGGAAAGAAAACTTTCCAAGTTGTGTAACATGTATAATGATAAATAAATATTAATGGCTTGGAATAATTATGCTTGATTACTTTTTAAACATAAATTGTCACCTTAGTGCAGTAATGGGTTAAAAAGTCCTTTTAAATTTAATAGAAGTTAACCAGTTATTGCACTGCGGTGACAAAATGTATGTCAGTGTCCTAGTAAAACCACTTATCATTTTAGCCTGTCAAACCACTTTGGTGGATGAAGAATGTTTCAAACTGGAGACTCATAGACTAAATACCAAGCTATTTAGGTCGTCGTGTTTACTGTCTTAAAATACATTCTAAGAACCTTAGGTCATGTATACAGTCTTAAAATACATTCTAAGAACCTTAGGTCATGTATATGGTCTTAAAATGCATTCTAAGAAACTTAAAAAGATATTCTAAGAAACCATGCAGGTTCCTATCATGTGGTAGAGCTTTCTGTCGACAGCATAATTTCAAAGACAAATTATTCTCTGTTATAATATCAACATATATAATTATCAGCTCAACTAAATTGGTAAATAACTTTTTATCAAATCTCAAAAATGTTCCTGCTGAAAAAAGTGACATGGATAATAATGTTCATTTTTGTTATATATTTTAAATTGAGATGGAAAGCTAATGACAGATAAAAGACAGAAACAGCAAGGATGACACGTAAACCCAACCCCAAAACACATGGCCTCTGTCTGTCCCACATCTTTATTGATACTGCTGGCTTACAAAATTATAATATTTTATTTATTATCTAACACTGTCGCATTTAGGAAAGAAATCATGTCTGAGGAAAAAGCGTAACAACTTAAATTCAGCAAAATATTTTTTAATATTTTGCATTCTCTTAATTACAAATAGAAATGAATCATTATATGCATTCTTAAGCCAGCTGTATCAAATAGCTTCAATTTTTAAAAAAAATTTTTTACTGCCCCACCCTCACACTGAACATGTCACAGAAGGCCACCCCAACATGTATTAGGAACCCACCTTTTCATTCAAACATTCAACCAAGTCGCGAACATACCCCCTCATTTCTTGGAAGAACCGAAATCGGTCCTCCAATTTTGGTGCACTTGCTTCACAATTTACGATGCTCATCTGTGAGTCCTCTATATCGTGCTCCAACTTGTCCGACTCCTGCTTGTGTGCCCGATGAACCTCATCCATACTTGTTAATCTGGAATTTTTGATGGTTCAAATATTATATTTACAGCCTTGTTACTTTCACTCAGATTCACTTTTTACTAATTTTGTGGAAGCATTAAATTTTGCGTTAAAATTTGAAACTGTCAATGAATAAAGTCCTCAAATTTAAGGTAACATTCTTGAAAGACTGAAAAATAAGCAGGAAAGAGTCTGACCAGACAACATGCATGTTCCTGTTGGCAGGGATCTATTATCATGATAATGTTACCTTCTTAATGATTTATTTTAATTTTACGACATCAAAGACTATAACTCACGTCAAAGATTTTGTTTGTTTGTTTGTTTTGGGTTATGTCACATCGACACAGTATAGTTCATGTAGTGACATTCAAGCTTTACTGGTGGAGGAAGACCTCAGATGCCCTTCCGTGCATTATTTCAGGCATGAACGGGCACCTGAGTAGAACCACCGACGTTCAATAAGCTAGCTGGATAACTTCCTCATATGAAAGAGTCCAAAGTCCCTGTCGGGATTCGAACCCACAGCAGTGAGGAGCAATTGCTTTAAGTGAACTACCTTAACCACTCGGCCACGGACGCCCCCAAAGATTATGTTTTATAAATCTGTCTGTTAAGAAAGATCAACACACATATTTTTCTGTTTTAAAAAATCTATTGGAAATCAGGCCCTTGGTATATTTTTATTGTACTTATTTCTTTAAAATCTACATGGGATTGATTATCCTATGAATCTTTCTGAAATGTATTTCTGTTTATCCTTTAATTTTCCAGATTCATTAAAAGAAATTCTTACCTTCCTGCTGTAAAATAAAACTTTATTAATATCATTCATTTCTTTATTAATGATTTTATTTTTTCAGTTTATTCTTCACAGAAGTCAAATTTTGATATTGAAATGTTACGAAGTTGTTTTTTTTACAAAACTAGAAAAGAAATTTACAATTCTAGTATTTTTAAAACTATAAACCTGAAAGGATTCTGAAGAAAATATGATCATTTACAAAGGATGTGATAATATGGTCATTTTCAGAGGATGAGATATATAGTTGTACATCCAGATCAATTATTCCATATTCCGCACTACCGTAAATACTTCTAGAGTTGTTATGTCATTATGTATCTATGTGCCCGTCATACTAACACATTAATAACCTGGTGTGAAGTCTTTTTTAAAGGAAATTTATTCCTTTTGTTCTTTTTTTTTATTATTATTTTCAGTGTGCATTTTACAGAATGTATACTGTGATTTTTCAGCACAAAACTTCGGTAGTACCACCAATTTTCAACAAAACCAGCTTCACTGCTTCCTGATAAACATAGCATATATAGAAACAAAATGAGCCCTCTGAAAAAACCCCAAGTAATGCTTTTGCACCAAAAGGGGATCCCCAGCCTGGGGAGGCGCAGGGCTGGTCTCTCCTGTTGCCCCAAAAACCCCCACATGTTGGGTTTTTTTGTCGTGACGGGGCTCATATATTGCGCTAGAATTCGAGCTCCCCTATCTTTTAGTCTTTTGATGAGTACTCAAGGGAAACCCTTTGTTTAAATATCTTCAGTTTGGGACTTTACATTTTTTCCGGGGGCTTTTTCTTGGGGAAACCTTAAAAATTTCCCTCCTTTTTCAAACAGCTTGGGAAATTTTTTTAAAAAAAAAACTTTTTGGGCGATTCCGGAAAAAATTGGTCATTTTAAAAAATTTTAAATTTTTTTTTACGGGGGAAAGCCTCCCTTTAAATGAATTTGCCCCTACCAAAGCTTTTGTTAAGGAATTTTTCCAATAGGCCAATTTTTTAAGGGAGATAATGAATTTTTTCCCTTTGGGACCTTTCAAGAAAGAATGAACTTTTTCAAACTTTCCCCTATCATTTAAATAAAAATGTTGTTCTAATGAAGGAAAAAATTAACATAAAAGTAATTTTTAAAAAAAAATTTCCATTTACCCCCTTTTTCTGTAATGAATTCTTTTTTTTGATTTAAAAGTTAGGGGAAAAAAAAATTTTTCCAAACGAGCTTTTAAATGGAACTTTCTTATACAAACTTTTATAAAAAGAAATAATTGGTCTAAAAAGGTTTTCCTAATGTTTTTTTACCAAGTATGAAGAAAAATACCAAAAATTAAAAAAGTTGTGGGGTAAATTTGGGCAAACCCTTTGGAACCCAATTTTAAAATGAAAACAAACTTTCATTTAAAAAAAATTTTATTAAAAGATCTTTTTTTTTAAAAAAAGTCAAGCTAAAAAGAAAGTGTAAATTTAACCGGTTTCCCCCAAAACGCACCTTTTTTATTTTTATTTTCAAAATTTTTTTTAACGTTCAATTAAAATAAATTTCCCCCGGATAATTTGAAATTTGTAGGAACCCTTTCCTTTTCCGAATTTTAAAATTTTTTTTAATGTAAGGGGAAAATTTCCCCCCGTTTATAAATTGTTTCCCAAAAATTTCTTTTTGTTTTAAATGAAAAACCCTACCAAAGGGCTTAGAAAATTTTTGGCTACTCATTTACTACCCCAAAAACTAACCAAGGTGTTCAAAAAAAAACCATCCCACTGGTTAAGGGAGTTTTAAAATTTTTTTTAAAGGGGAAAAAAACGGGCCCATGTTTTTGTTTGCAGAAATTTTTTAAAACAATTTAAAAAAGTGTAACCAAATTTAAAAAATTCCCTTTTTAAAGATTTGTTTTAAACAAATTTTTTCAGGGTACTAAAAAATAAACAAAAAAATTTGTAGGCCCAACCATTGCCCCATTTTCTTAATAATACAAAATCATTTAAAAATTAATTTCCCCCGTTAAAGGGGAAAATTTTTTTTTCCTTTTTTTTTCTCTAGGGGGGGGAAAAAAAACAACCTTTTTTCCTCCCTCAAATTATTTACATTTCATCTTCCCCAAAATTTTAAAAAAAAATTTTTTTTCATTAAAATTTTTAATTTTTTGTATTTAACAAAAAAATTTTTTAAAAGTTGCCTTTACAAAAGTTTTCCCCCCCAAAAGATTTCAACACCCAACAAAAAAAAAAATGTCAGAAAGGGGGTTTTTAAAACCCTTTTAGGGGTGGAAAAAAAAAAAACTTAATTTTTGGGAAATTTTTTTTTTCCAAAAATAAAAAAATTTTTGTTTTTGGGTTTTGGTTTTTTAAAAATTGCAAAAAACCCCTTTTTTAAAAGGGGTTTTATTTTTCAAATTTTTAATTTACAGGGGGGAAATTTCCCCCTTTCCCTTTATTGAGTTTTTAGTACTATTTTTTTATGTCAATTTCCCCAAAAAAAAACTTTTTTTTTTTTGTTTATTCACAAACTTTACAAATTTTTTTTTGAAAAAAAAAAATTAAAAATTTGGGGTTTTCATTTTCAAATAAATTTTTTATTTTAAAATTTAATAAAAAATGGGGAAAGTAAATTTTAAGTTAAAATTTCAGCTTTTTTTAAAATTTTTTTGCCAAAAATATTAAAATGGTTTTTAAATTAACCCCTTAACCCCCAATTTTTAAAAATTTTTTTTTTTTTTAAAAAAAACCCCAATTTTTAAATTTGGGGTTTTTTTCCAAAATGGAAAAGGATTATCTTTTTTCCACTTTTCTTTTTTAAGGGAACCTTACCCCCCCGATTTTTTTAGCATTTGAGATTTGCTTTCAACTTTTCCCCCAAAAAAGAAAACCCCTTTTGGGGGTTTAAACCCCAAACTTTAAAGGAAGTTCTTTTTTAAAATAAAAATTTTAATTTTTGGGAAAAAAAATGGTTTTTACAAAATTTAAAAAATTTTAAAAAAAAAATTTTCAAAAATTTAAAAAAATTTTAACTGATAAATTTTTAGTTTTTTGGGGGGAATTTAAAATTAAAAATAAGGGGAAGGGGAAAAAAAAATTTTTTTTCAACAACAGGTTTTCGGGGGGCCTTTTTTACCTTCATTTTTTCCCCCCAAAAACCCTTTTAAAATTTTTCCCTTTTTAAAAAAAACCTTTCTTCATTTTGGGGGTTTCATAAAAAATTTCCCTTTAAAAGGCGAAAAAAATTCCAAAAAAAAAATTTTAAAAATTTTTTAAACCTTTTTGGGATTATTTTTAAAATTTTAAAATTTTTTGGGATTTGATCTTTTTAAAAATTTTTAAAAAAAAAAAATTTTTTTTTTTTTTCCCTTTTCCAAATAAAAAATGTTTTCCCCTTCTTTTAACCATAAAATTTTAAAATTTAAAAAAAAAGGAAACTTTTCCAAATTTTTTTTATTATTTTTTAATTTGCTTTCCCTTAGATTTTTGGCCCTTTTTTAAATTTTGTTTTTCTTTAGTTTTAAAAAATTTTTTCCATGCTTTTTCCAGTTCTTTTTTTCAAACCCTTTTTTTGGGGAAAAAACCCTGGAAATTTTTTATAAATTATTTTAAAAATTTTTTCCCTTCTTTTTTTTAAAAATTAAAAAATTGGAACCTCACATCTAAACAGGACCCAAAATGTTTTCTCTTTTTTATTTTGCACTTCACATTGCAATAAAACATACTATTGGCATGTAACAGCTGAAGAATTTTGAAGATAAATCACTGTATCAAACAATAATGATGGAGCACTTTTAGAATATATCCGCAGTAAAATCCATGTTTTAAAATCCTAACATAACACAAACCCAAGCAGTAATCTGTGTGATTTGTGAAGAAACATTAATATTGAAGAAATAATATTGGGTATAATCACAGACATATATACAACGGATAGGAAGCTCCAAAAAATAGACCATAGTCAGATTCAGACCCAAAATCCTTTGCCAGCTTCGGTGTTAATCTGGTTTTCCCCGCTAGTTTCCGATTGTCACACTCTCGTTAAACTTTGGCGATACCCATAAATTATTGTTTACATTGCTGACATGGATTTTCATAGGAGAAATATTAGTGTGGAAAAGTGTGTGTATTGTACCTTTTACGATAAATAATTATTGCTTCTTATATAAGTGGAAAATGTTTGTCTTTTTAGTCTGTATACCTCCTGGAATTCAATATGGCGGTATTTTGACTATTTTTACCAAAGATGCATCAAATCTCGTCAAATCTCGGAAAATCCCGCAATATATGATAACTTACGTGAACACAATTCCGTCGATTCTTAATTTAACTGTGTGACGTCACAGTTTCTTCTCCATCTTTATTTAT